ATATATATATATATATATATGAATGTTTCTGTTCAGTGCTGTAGATCAAGGTTCATGCTCATTCAGGTAATATAATAAATCCAACAGTGTCCTGAGATGACTTCTGTTATAAATAAGCTGAAGTGTAGAGGAACACTTCCTGAACTGTCATTCAAATCCGTCCAATGGTTCATGAGATATTTTGCTAACAGGCGACAAAATGAACATCTAATCGTTTATAGTCAAATGCAGATGTTGCCGTAACACCTGTTGATGTGAAGCAGCTCCGGTGTTGAGGTATTTCCAGGTGTTGCCTCATCATGGCTGGAACAGGTTTGACAACCAGCACCGTGCGCCATCTTCCCCCCCAGTCATGGTCCAAAGACATCACGAGGTGTGGCAGCGGCTCACTGCTCTCCAGCACTTTCACTTTTGATAAGAGCTTATCAGCACAGCCTGGTGCTGATTGGGCAACTGGAGAAAAAGGAAGTGAAACACGCCGCGCTGCTTTGTTGCAATAAAACCTCTGGAAAGTGTCGTTTCTCGTCCCTCTCTGACATGTCACACTTAACTACACTGTGAACCTTAAGACGAGCCGTGAGCGCGCGATGAAGTCCACGAGGTAGCTGACAAACGAGAGACTTTTGTTCAAAGGACTTCCTGCTCCGCTGGACCGGAGCACGCGGACGTTCGGAAAGATTAAAGGGCCGAGCAGAGATGGATCACGCACGAGCCTCAGACGCGCAGGTAGGAAAGATAAAAGCAAGAGAACAGACTGAGGAAGCGAGCTGACAAGACGCACGCGAGTTTCTCGAGCGCGCGCACACGAACAGTGAGGCAAACTCAACCACGCAGTTTGTTTTACCTGTTTTTATTCATGTCAGGTCAGCACGTAAACAAACAAACAAACAAACAGGGTTTCCTAAATTAGGCTAGTAACACCGGAACCCGTTTGAATACGAGTAAACAAAGTGTATAAACTGACCACACGGGGGCGCTGGTGAACACCACAGTCTGGACGGTCATGGTTCTGCTTCGTTTTTAATTTATTAACTTTGTTTAATCAGGCAAATCCCACTGAGAGCACAGGCCTGGACCTGAAGGCAGACTAACAGGCATGTTTTTGATGTGTGGGAGGAAGCTGGAATACCTGGAGAAAACCCACGCAAACTCCACACAGAAAGACCCCAGGTCCAACCGGGGATTGGACCCACGACTTTCTTGCTGTGAGGCAACAGTGCTAACCACTGAGCCGTCGTGCTGCCTTCGTCTGCTAGTAAAATATCTCGCAAACCAATGGGCAAATTTTATTAAAGCTTTATGAAAATAATCATTGGATTTACATAAGCAAATCTTTTTTTATGTCAAGAAGTACTTTATTTCGAACAAATAACATTGCATATGAAGATCTTCAACACAATAAGAATATCAAATTACATGATTCATAACTCATTTATGCATACATTTATTTAACTTTTTTTTAAAAACTTTTTTTATTTTACTTTGTAGATTGCAAGACCTTTACACCAATATTGCCAATGTCGGTGGTTATTATTTATATATCATTATGCCTTTGTTTATTTATTTATTTTTCTTTAATGTAATATGCAAATCTTTCTTCTTCTTTCGGCTGCTCCTTTCTTCGGGGGTCACCGCAGTGAACTAAGTTGTACGAAGGTTTGGTGATTGTTTTTATGCCGGATGTCCTTCCTGATGCAACCACAGACACCGAGCTACCACAGCCTCTGTGTGGAGCAGAGCTGCCATCTAGGGTGACCGGGGAGCAGATGGTGGGGGTTAAGGGCCTTGCTCAAGGGCCCAGAGTGGGGCAAATGAAGGTGGAGGAAGGCAGGTGTGGCTGCTTCACCTTTCCCACCCACATTTTTGATGTTGGTCCAGGGAGTTGGAACCGGCGACCTTCTGATCACAGACCCACATTCTCTAACCTCTGTGCCCCCACGCCCCCGCAGGATTTACATATGCAAATAATTAACCCAATTGAATTAAGCTGCCACAGATACCGACCTCGAAAACCACATAAATTGCTTGAATTCTGTCTATTAGAAATATTGATCTAAAACTGAGTGTAGTAGTAGCTGAGAGTGATCCCCAGCACATATTCTGAGCAGCGACAGATTGATCTCTGTTGAAAAAAATGTGCCATTAACTGTTTGGAGTGTTTTAATAGCTGGATGTGTATCAGTGATTAGAGGAGGGGGAGAGGGCGGGCCCAGAGGCCATCTCAGCACCAGCAAACTGTCCCCCCCCCACTATGGAGTTAGTGGGAATCAGTTTGTTTGGTGGCTTCTCAGACTGATGAAGTCCTTTGGATGAAGGGTGAAATGTCTCAGCAAAAAAAAAAAAAAGAGACCGTCCAGATGACCTGACTGGACATTGTTGGATTTATACCTGGATTATTGAGCATGAACTTTGGTATCAGTGATTTACTTTTCCGAGCCAGCCCAGTTCAAGATGCCGGGCACAGCTAACCTCCATTAACACAAAGTGTCTAACTCAAACAGCTACACAACCAGCTAAAATGTAAAGTGGTTGCAGCTGAGAGTCAGTCACAGCTCGTGCTAGTCAGTGTGGCATATGTCAGTATCGCAAGATACCACGCGTAACGTTATTTTCAAGGTTTGAACAAAACGCCTTTAACTCCGTTGGTCATGATTATTTTATTCTACAACTCAGGCGCGATGGACAAGGGATGATTCTTTCAAAGAAAGCTAGACCTTTAATTTTTTAGAGTGATTTTATTGATACACGTCATAGAACGTGTATATGTGTGTGTGTGTGTGTGTGTGTGTTTTATTGTAGCAGTACATTTTTTGGCAATCAGGTCAGACATCTTGTTGAATCTTGGTGTAAAATAATTGAAGTGAAGATTGAAAATCTGTCTTTCAAGATGTGAAACAGTTGTTTTTGTCTTATGTGAAAGAAGTACAACTTTAAACAGCTTTAGCTTTAAAGCCACAGCTGGGCCTGTCGCGATAAACAATAAATCAATCAATCGCGTGCTAAATGAAAATTATCCACCTCATTTTCATTTATTGGCTTTATTATTTCTTCGTGTCTCTCTCTTTCTACTGAAGACACTGGACGACAAAAGTCTCAACTCCGGTGCTCTTCACTGACCCCTCCCTTTCTCTTTTTTCTCTTTAAAATCCGTTTTAACCGTCCATAAATTACGTTTTTGGATCGTTAAAAGCAGCGAAGCTGAGAAGATAAGCTACAAGCTAAGCTAACAGGCCGATCTCAGGAAAAAACCTCCGTCTTGTCGACGCTCCAAAATTCACAGTTGAAATCTGTGCCTTCGTGTAAAAAGTTGTTTTTCTCTGCAAAAAGAAGCTGAGAACTTGTTTACTGATTTTTTTATTATTAAAAGATTTGTGTGAAAAATGCTAAAGAGCTCAAACCACACCGAGCGTCCGCCATTTTGAGAACCGAAGCGAGACAGCCCATGTCACGTCAAGGGGCCTCCCTCTCATTTTTCTTCAAGAAACACGCTGGTCGCATGTTTCTTATACTGTCATCTGGTGGTCGAAAAAGATATTACACTCAAAACAAATGAACCAACATCCATCCATCCATCCATCCATTATCTTTACCCGCTTATTCCATTTTGGGTCACGGGGGTCGCTGGTGCCCATGTCCAGCAATCACTGTGCGAGGGGCGGGGTACACCCTGGACGGGTCGCAAGTCCATCACAGGGACACATAGAGACAAACGAGACAAACAACCATTCACTCTCTCACTCACACCTAGGGACAATTTAGAGTTACCAATCAGCCTAACATGCATGTTTTTGGTCTGTGGGAGGAAACTGGAGTACCCGGAGAAAACCCACGCATGCACGGAGAGAACATGCAAACTCCACCCAGAAGGCCCCTAGACCGGGGTTTGAACCAAGGACCTGCTCGCTGCGAGGCAGCAGCTCTACCAGTTGCGCCACCGTGCTGCCCGCATGAACCAACATTTATTCTTAAATTTGACAATAACGACTAATTATTGTCAAATTCCAAACAATATTATTGTTTATCACAATAATTTTTGAGACAATCGCCCAGCAAAATTCGTTATCGTGACAGGCCTAGCCACAGAACAAAGCAGTAAACCATCACAAGAATGTTTCAACAATTGAATTAAAATGTTTTCTTCACAGCCTGACAAGAGGCCCACTGACAGCACGGCATCTCCTTCTATGGTACATTGTCTCATAACTGAAACATCTTTTTATTTGGACTTCAGTTCTGCCCCATTAGGATGTGTGATGAAGTGTTTTCACTGTCAAAACAGAAGGACAAGTGGCCTTTCAGGCGAGTGAGAAGTCCATCCAGACCAAGGGCTTGGCTGTCCAGATCTTACAAACCAAAGTTTGGAGGGCAGGTCCAGAGGCCTCGGTTAGACCAGAAGAACTTGGAGCATTTTTTCTTAAGTTACCTTCCCCTGATGTGGCTTGAACTTGTCCTCTTCTCATATTGATGCAGGTTTGCAAGAGATGACCATGTATTCCACAAAGCTGGTTTCAGCAACCAAAAGTACCACTACCTGAAGCCCCGGGCCTACATCCATCGCAGAGATCACACCCCATCTAAACCTCTGCGTATCCTGCCGAAGGAGAATGAAAAAGAGAGGATGAAGGAGAAGGAGAGGGGAAAGATGATGGAAAAGGAGTGGCGTGAGCAAAGAGAGAGCACCGATGGAAGTTCCTCCTCCAAACAAAACAACAGTGAGTTCATGACCGCAACACACGGAACAGGTTTTATCCTAAAAAGATCAGGTTAGAATATCATATTGTTCATTATTATTTTGAACGTTTGTTGAAAGACATTCTTCACTGTCTTAGTGTAAATCTGGGTGTCTAAATACTTCTTTAAAATGTCTTCAGTTGATCCAAAATGCTGCTGCCAGAGTCTAAACTGGAGTTAAGGACTGGCTTCGTCAAGTCCAGAATTGAATTCAAAATCTTACTTTTAACCTACAAAGCCCTCAACAACCTAGCTCCATCTTATATTACATATCTTATTGTTCCATATTTTCCCAACAGAGCACTTTGCTCTCAGACTGCAGGTTTACTTGTGGTTCCTAGAATTTCTAAAAGCAGAATGGGAGGCAGATCTTTCAGTTATCAGGCTCCTCTCTTGAGGAACCAACTTCCAGTTTCTGTCCATGAGGCTGACACATTGTCCAGTTTTAAGACTTTCCTTTTTGATAAATCCTATAGTTAGGATTGGCTTGTTATGTTGCTATAGACTTAGACTACTACAGGACAAATTGACCTCATTTCCTTAAATGAATTGTTAAAATTGAATAGTTTTCATTTGATACTATTTCTATTTTAACATGTGATTCTTGACCTGCCATTGTGTATCCGTTCTTCTCAAACCCAGCCGGTTGAAGCAGATGACCACTTGTTCTGAGTCTGGTTCTGCTAAAGGTTTCTTCCTCATGAGGGAGTTTTTCTTTTCCACTGTCGCCTTCATGCTTGCTCAAGATGAGAGTCTGTGATGGAGTTAAACTCAAAGCAGTCTGCTCCTCAGATAAATAACGTTACATTATTATTTTTATATATAAATGTTGCTGCTCAGTGCCCTGAGACGACTTCTGTTGTGACTTGGTGCTATAGAAACTGAATTGAACTGAATGGAATTTAAATTTCTCAGTCTACGTTTCTGTCGTCCCTCTGGGCAAAATGCTTTTTACGTTTTGTCTCTCAGCTCTAGAGCAGTCACTCTTAGATTACATGAACTACACGTGTTTCAGACAAACAAAAACCTCTGCTCACCGTGACGTTCACTCATAAAAACAGATTGTATAGGTTAAAGGTCCTGATAAAGGAACTGATAATTATCCTCATACGCATGCTGTTGGTTGTAATAACTCAGAATAGGCTACCTGCTGCTGTGTAGGTCCAGACAGAGCGATCAGAAACTTTATTCACAGTTAAAATGTTTATTTCACCCTGACTTTGTCCCGTAATGTGTAAATCACTTTACCAATCAAATAAATCAAGTGAATATTTTTTAAAACTATGTTTTGGTGTTGTGTTACATCAAGAGGCTAAAGACAACAGTTCTTTCTCTAACTATACACGTAAAAAATAACCTCCAATCAGGAACAACTGATCTTTCGCTGCAGCTTCAAAGTGAGCGTAACTTTAAAAATACATCACTCCGATCAGTTCTAAAGTTTTCATTCTATAATGTAGATCAACCTCCTATTAATCAAAATGAGTCTTTTTTATGGACGATACTAAAATCAGCTATTTAAAAAGATTTGTTAAGCAGAAGTTGTGGCGTGACAACGTGAGCAGGTCATGAAGCAACCGGGCGGATTTACACCCCCAACCACACCATCAGGCTGGTGGTTTTAGACAAACTTAATTATTTAGCAGTGACAGATTACTGGTATAGTATTCAAAAACACATCAGCATTAACGTATTAAATTTCTTTATGATGGTTCTTATTCCCAAGAATAACTTAATCCCTTCTGCCCATTATCGCTGTAAGTCTGTGGAAGACAACAGAAGGTAAAGAAAGCTGGTCTTAACAACAGTTTTCCACATTCTGCCTTTTTAATCCCTCATTATACGAAAATGACGCTGCAGTTCTGGACATGTGAGGATAAAAACAGTGGTGGAACTACTGGAGAATTAATTATAAACTATTGTTTTTGCCTATATTTGCAATTTAACATTAAAATTGAGCGTTTTTCACATTAAAACTCAAACACAGGCAGCAAATGCCACCAGAGTCGTGCACCGTTACTGCCTAGTTTGTTGAATTATGTCCAGAAATAATTACATTTTGTGTAAATAAAGTACGAGATTGAGGAAGGAAACACACAGTGGTCCGGGGTGCCCAAACTTTTTCCCTGAGAGGGCCAAAATGAAAATCTATCAGAGGGCCGTGGGCCAAATGCGATAATATAATACATGAAATGCAAATATTTCTTTACGTAAAGGAATTTTATTTTTATACAGTTATTTAACCTTTCATTCTGTATAAAGAATGTTACAGAACACACAAAATATAACAAATAAGTCGTATATAGGAAATTAAAACAAATATATACATTTTGTCCAGGTGCTGGTCATAAAATTAGAATACCATGAAAAAGTGGATTTATTTCAGTAATTCCATTCAAAAAGTGAAACTTGTATATTATATTCATTCATTACACACAGACTGATATATTTCAAATGTTTCTGTTAATGTTTATTATTATAACTGACAACTAATGAAAACCCCAAATTCAGTATCTCAGAAAATTAGAACATTACTTAAGACCAATAAAAAAAGGATTTTTAGAAATGTTGGCCAACTTTAAAGTATGAACATGAAAAGTATGAGCATCAATACTTAGTTGGGGCTCCTTTTACCTGGATTACTGCAGCAATGCAGCGTGGCATGGAGTGGATCAGTCTGTGTCACTGCTCAGGTGTTATGAGCCCAGGTTGCTCTGAAAGTGGCCTTCAGCTCTTCTGAATTGTTGGCTCTGGTGTATCGCATCTTCCTCTTCACAATACTCCGTAGATTTTCTATGGGGTTAAGGTCAGGTGAGTTTGTTGGCCAATTAAGAACAGGGATACCATGGTCCTTAAACCAGGTACTGTTAGTTTTGACACTGTGCAGGTGCCAAGTCCTGTTGGAAAATGAAATCTGCTTCTCCATAAAGTTGGTCAGCAGCAGGAAGCATGAAGTCTCTAAAACTTCCTGGTAGACGCTGCGTTGACCTTGAACCTCAGAAAACACAGTGGACCAACACCAGTGGTGTTGATTCATGGAATAAGAATACAGTGCTTTGGCTTATGAGATTTCAATGTAGTAATGATGACGGCTTCTGGTGCACCAAATCAAACGGCTTCGCTGGCCCCAGTTTGGCCCGCAGACCCAACTTTGGGCACCCCTGGGTTAAATCGGTTTAGGTGGCAACATAGCTTTGGTTGTTCGAGCTATTTTTGGCACAGCAGCTTTCTTAAACATCTAAATGCACCCACTTCCTGTTTACAAGAAGAGTACAGGTTCCTCTTCACAACAGGTTTGTGTTTTCTTGCATCATGCCACCTCTGGGTGGCAGCATGAGCAAGTCAAGGCCCTTGTTTCCATGAGTATGTTTGCATTAAGAGTATTTGGGGGGCAGTGGCTTCTTTGTGGTGTCCGTTGGTTGGTCGGTAGTTACCTTGTAGTAGCAACAAGCTGGTGTTGCATAATGTTGATCAGCTTTTCCCACACTCAGTGCATGGATTATGTCATCAGCGAGCTGCGAGTCATCCTCAGCTGAACAGGGTGATATTATTAGCTGGAGGTAGATTTATCATGAATTGTTTTTCAGTGGGAAGAGTTCACAAGGAAACCACAGAAATCAGCTTTGTTTTCCAACAAGTGTAACACCAGTTGTCACTAAACACAGTCCACATCTCAGATGTTGGGTTTTGTTTTTTCATGCTGGTAGAAAGCGGTGTGTAAAGTGCCGAATTGCTTCATCTTGCCTTGCACACGGCCACTTTTATTTGTGCGCACGCTGCAGCACTGTGTGGAGGTGTGTGTTTGTGCATGTGAGAGAGTGGAACAGGTTTTTTTGTGGGCCTGAGTGATGGTGCGATGATGGTGACTCATCGCTGAATTTGTGTGTGTATATGAGAGTGTGAAAGATGAAGAGAAGGAGAGACGTACTGCACCACATAACGAACCATAACAGAGATACGGCTTTACATGGGGAAACTGCGAGAGAGACAAATCTGGTGAAACCTCTATTGATCTCAGACATAAAGGAGACCTGGGTGGAACGTTAGTAATGACATCAAAACACTCTGCGTAACTGAAATGCATCGCATATAGAAAATGAAGGCTGTATTGATTTGAGTCAGTAGTTAGTGCTCATGTAACCCCCCCCCCCCCCCACTGTGTTGTTGTGTTGACCTTGTGGTTTGTCTGTTTTCCAGCTTCTAGAGCTGTCTTACCCAGATCCAGCTCCAGCAGAGACAAGGACATGCTGGTCACCGTAAGTTCACAAGCACCATCGCTTCTCTGCATTACTGTTTTAATGAAATATTTAAAACAATTAGAGAGCCTCTTTTATTTACTAATACACATTATTTTGGTAAATTGACAATGACAGGTGCTTTGCTTCTCAGTAAGACGTTACTTCATGTATAGGCTTCAGGGAACGGTTCCCACGTGATAAACAAGGACGGGGGGTCCGTACCCTGAAGCTTTGTGATAAGTAAAAAACAGTGAAGTAGGAATAGTGTTACAAGTAGTAAGTAGTAGTTTATTTTAGTATTCATATATATATATATATATATATATATATATATATATATATATATATA